TATGACAAAACTTGAGCTTCCTGAGTCTAACAGTGTGCAACAAGGTAAACACACGTGGACAAAATAGTTGGTACCCCTCAGTTAATGAAAGAAAAACCCACAACGGTCACAGAAATTACATGAATCTGACAAAAGCAATAATAAATAAAAATTCTATGAAAATTAAGCAATGAAGATCAGACATTGCTTTTGAACTGTGGTTTAACGGAATTATTAAAAAAAAATATTAACTCATGAAACAGGCCTGGACAAAAATGATGGTACCCTTAACGTAATATTTTGTTGCACAACCTTTTGAGGCGATCACTGCAATCAGACGGTTTCTGTTACTGTCAATGAGACTTGTGCACCTCTCAGCAGGTGTTCTGGTCCACTCCTCATGAGCAGACTGCTCCAAGTGTCTCAGGTTTGAAGGGTGCCTTCTCCAGACGGCATGTTTCAGCTCCTTCCACAGATGTTCAATAGGATCTAGATCAGGGCTCATAGAAGGCCACTTCAGAATGGTCCAATGTTTTCCTTGTAGCCATTCTTGGGTGTTTTTAGCTGCTCTGTGTTTTGGGTCATTATCCTGTTGCAAGACCCATGACCTGCGACTGAGACCAAGCTTTTTGACGCTGGGCAGATTCAAGACACCCTGTGTCAGATGCAGCAAAGCAGCCCCAGAACATATCAAAGCCTCCTCCATGTTTCACAGTAGGGACAGTGTTCTTTTCTTGATATGCTTCATTTTTCTGTGAACATAGAGCTGATGAGCCAAAAAGTTCCAGTTTGGTCTCGTCTGTCCAGAGGACGTTCTCCCAGAAGCTTTGTGGTTTGTCAACATGCAGTTTGGCAAATTCCAGTCTGGCTTTGTTATGATTAGTTTTCAACAATGGTGTCCTCCTTGGTCGTCTCCCATGAAGTCCACTTTGGCTCAAACAACGACGGATGGTGCGATCTGACCCTGATGTACCTTGACCTTGGAGTTCACCTTTAATGTCTTTACAGGTTGTTCTGGGCTCTTTTGTTACCGTTCGTATTATCCGTCTATTCGATTTGTCATCAGTTTTCCTCCTGCGGCCACGTCCAGGGAGGTTGGCTACAGTCCCATGGATCTTAAATTTCTGAATAATACATGCAGCTGTAGTCACAGGAACATCAAGCTGCTTGGAGATGGTCTTATAGCCTTTACCTTTAACATGCTTGTCTATAACTTTCTTTCTAATCTCCTGAGACAACTCTCTCCTTGGCTTCCTCTGGTCCATGTTCAGTGTGGTCCACACCATGTCACCAAACAGCACAGTGACTACTTGTAACCCTATAAATAGGCCGACTGACTGATTACAAGTTTGTAGACGCCTGTGATGCTAATTAGAGGACACACCTTGATTGAACATGTCTCTTCTTCAAGTCGTCTTTTCTCAGGGTACCATCATTTTGTCCAGGCCTGTTTCATGAGTTTATTTTTAAAACCACGGTTCAAAAGCAATGTCTGATTTTCATTGCTTAATTTTCATAGAATTTTTATTTATTATTACTTTTGTCATATTCAAGTTATTTCTGTGGGTTTTTCTTTCATTAAACGAGGAGTACCAACTATTTTGTCCACGTGTGTATATTAGAAATAACACAGGGTTGAAAACATCAGTCGGCACTGTCTTATTTTTAGTGTGAAAGATTCACGAAGGAAAAACGTCAAAGGAAAACAAAATTAAACTCCTAACATTGAAATAACCCGTTTCTTTTCTGTAATCAGGGCCAAACCCAGAAGAGCTTGACTCCACTGACGCCCAGCTGCTCCACGGTTCTGTCGGCCTCTCCATCCCTGGAAGTTCACCTGCCAACACCCTGCACGCTGTTTGTATAGAAGACTGCAGCCTCCTGGAACAGTATCCAGACCTGCAGGTGGCTGATTCAGGCCGCATCTCCCAAAACCCTCTGAGAAACACCCTCATCCAGCACGATCCTTACATCCATTGCCCCATCCCGGACATTTACCCAGAACCTGCAGCCCTGCAGGAGCCACCAGGCGATGCAGGGTCATCCATACCGGACCAGGGTTATCTGGTGATGGGGGCCAGCGTGAACATCAGCCTGGACCTGCCCGGATCCGGCTTGGAGCCCATGTCTAACTCCGTGCTGAACGGGCTGCTGGAGAAGCAGCTGGAGGAGGTTTACATGCAGCATCTGACCGACAACTTGGCCCGATGCAACTCCCACCTGGGGAACAGCCTCCTGCACGGCCTGGTGCCGCCGCCGCAGCCCGGCCGGCCGCCCCGAGGGCCCGACTCACTGGAAGCAAGTCTGGAGGCAAGCTCAGAAGACAACCGCAATAAAATCAGCTACCTGAGCACCCAGAACTTAGTGCCCTGCTCATCCAACTTCAGCTCCCCGGTGCTGAGGATTTCAGAGTCAGACAACCCTCACCTGCAATGAAAACTAGTAAACGTAGCGCTCAGCTTCCTGTTTTCGCTTCTTTTCCTCACACCACTGTTTACACATGTATAGAGGTGACAAAACAAGTGCAATTCACTATATCAGTGCTATTTTTACACAATGCTTTGTTGACTTGCTTAATGAAAGGATGCCTTACAGTTTGCTGCTTTCATATGCCATCTGCTGTTAGACTTCAGTACTGCACTGTCATTCATTCAAATCTGTTTTATTGAAATTACAGCTGGGAGTTTGTACATAAAGTGTTTAATATGTTAAAGCAAGCTGCAATCCAGTATTAGATTATATTTGTTGCTGCTTTGATTTCACTCATTGGCAAGCACCAGCCTCTTTCTTTTCATTTGTTTTGATGCAATTTACTTGTTTACTTCCCTGAAGTCATGAATAAAAGTTGGATTTTCAGAAGTACATGTGGTTTGCAACATCATGGTTGGAGCAGAATAAATGCAAAAGTTTCCTTTCACATAGTTTAGTCAGGTTTAGGTCTGACACACTTAATAAAAGCAGCAATTCTGACCACAGACACCAAGATGAGGAGCCATATTTGTGCTGCTACATTAAAGATGGACACACTTCTGATGTGAGAAAAGGACAATTTAGTGTATTTATCATTTATCATAACAAAGCAGAATTTATACAATCAAACCAGAGTGACAGCAAAGATGTCTAAAGTGTTGCGATGCACGCCCAAAAGAAATGAAAATCTAAAACCTGAAATCATACACACTTACCAATATAATCTAATCCACCCCACAAATTCTGTAACCCTAACAGGAACGTTAGAATTGAATTTCCTGGAACAAAATCTCTGCAACTTTATCAAATTATGAATCTAATTTCGGTGCCACTTAATGTAGTTATGACTCTAATTTTGCTGCCCATGTGTGTACGCATGTTAACGCTGCTGTCCAGTATGATTTGAACAGCACAATGTAAATTCTGTTTTAGTTTTAGATTTAAATATAACACAGCAAACAGGCAAGTTTATATTATTTTTGCTTGAGTTTGCACAAGATTCTTCCTGCTGTCCAGATACTTGAAAGTCAGGGATGCTGACAGCTGCTGATATGTCACCATCAGATGTTATATAAATGTGAGGTGGACTTAGTAAGAGTAAAGATTTTGCATAAAATTCAAGTTGTGCTTAATGAGGAGCGATGCATCACAGCCTGGCAGGCTCAGCTGCTTCCACCATGCTGACTGCTGTAGTTTATATTGGGTCAGCAGTTCTTTTAAGACTTAGAAAACTTAAATGTCCTCTGAGGGGCAATTTGTGGTACAGTGCAGTGCATACAGACGCTTTAAAAACACATAAAATAAGCAAAAACAACAATAATACAAATAATCTACAGCAGCCATCATACTGGAAAAATCACCCCAGACCAGCCAGGCATTTAAAGTGCATGACAGTGAATGCAAACCATAATAACTGCAAGTCTCAGAAGGTTCCAGCATGAGCTCACACAGCAATAACCTTAAGATTTATGCAGCACCTCCCAGCTTAAAGTTGATTTGTAACCTGTGATGCACAAATCCTCACAAATGGGCTTCCTGCAGTGAAGCTAATGCCGTCCATTAACATGCACTAACATTCTCGTTGGAAGCCTTAAGGCACTTCACTCATCTGTGCAAAAAACAAAAAAAAACAACAACCAAAAAAAAAAGGAAAACAGAGATTCACTGTGGTTTTCCTGTAATTAATAGATTAGAGCTGGCAGTCTAATCAGGCTTTGTTACATGCTGCTGCTATCTGGAGATTATGGCAGGTAATTCCCAGGTAATTTAGAAGTGCTAATCTAAAAATTAAATACAAAGACAAAAGAGCAGGAAAAATTAGATTTTACCCCTGGGAGGTGTGTGAATCAAGTCGTAAACCCTTATGAGCGACTGGAAAACCTAGAGTCTTTTAAAAAACTACATGCAATTAGTGGTTGGATCATAAAATTAGAGGGATAACAGGTGGTGTAGAGCGACAACAAAGTTACCCAACTTCACTTTGATGATATCATACATCATATATCATGAAAATAAATCGGTTTTCTATGCATCAAAATCAGTTGTTCCTTATTAAACCTTCAGAGAACAAATGCAGACTGGAGTACGCTGATTAATTCACAGCCTTTCATTGAGCAAACAAGCTAGTGTTTCAATCATCAGAGTCATTATCTCATTACCAGTCATTAAATATCATACACACCCAACTATCACTTGTATTAAAGTCTCTATCTACGCTGATTAGACCTTTGCTCAGGCTGAGGTAAGCTGGAGTTATGTTGGGAACTGAGTCACCAAAGTGCATGGTTCAGTGATAAGAATGGCATAAATGGAAGCTGTCCCACATGTGACACACGGCACGTAACTGAAAGAAAACACCTGGAGACAAACTGCCGTGTCATGTCAATAAGGAAATTGCCGATCCATCCATTTCCTACACACTGCTTCATCCTGTGCAGGGCCTATCCCAGCTGACTAAAGAGAAAGGGCAGCATACAGTCTGGAAAAGTTGCCGGTCCATCACAGGGATAACACAGACCGACAGACAACCATGTATGCTAACGCTCAATAAGGCCAATTTTGAGTTCACAATTAGCCGAGCATGCCTACGGACTGTGTGAGGAAGCACTCTGTGAAAACCTTTGCAGGCACAAGGAAACTCATACAAGCTCTACACAGAAAGGCCCTGGTGGAGGGAGTAGAGATCCAAACCTTCAACAGTTGTGAACAAAAGTTTACAAAGCGCATGTGCAACATGGCAGTCTTGAGTTTCCAATGACTCTTATCACTCTGAACTTTCTGTGATGGTTGAATGATTCCGTCTTTGTCACATTTATTTATTTATTTATTTTTATAAATATATCTTAGACCTTCTGGAACATATGACAAAATCTGCTGGGTCAAAAATATACATACAGCAGTGCTAATATTTGGTTAAATGGCCATTTTTGCTTTGTTTTAACTTTTGATAGTGGCCTACAAGCTCCTGGTTGTGTCTTTGAAGGCTCCTCTTGACAGAATTGGTGCAGTTCAGCTAAATTTGTTGGCGTTCTGACACAGACTTGTCTCTTCAGCACAGTCCACCAGTTCTCAATGGGGTTAAAGTCAGGACTTTGGGGAGACCAGTGTAAAACCTTAATTCTAGCTTGATTTAGCCATTTCTTCACCATGTTTGATGTGTTTTCAGGATCAATATCTTGTTGGAACACCCAACTGCATCCAGGACCTAAGCTTCTGGGTGATGATTTAAGGTTTTCCTGAAGAATGCGGAGGTAATTCTTAATTATTCAGTTTACCTTGTGTTATGACTCCTGGGGTTTGTGCCATCTTGTGTTGTGGTGGAACCCATGTGGACTCTGTAAAGGGAGAGGAGTGGCATGGTATCTGTGGTAGCTGGCTGGTTAGCCTTCTCCAGACCCTGCTTCTTCTTCTTCTATTGATTTTGCATCCAACATTCAGGTGCATTACCGCCACCTACCAGACTGGAGTATGAAGCAACATTGTCAGAAAGAAGGAAAAAAAACCCCAACAAACTAAATCCTTATCAGAATTTCTGTTTTTGACATACTCAATTAGATCACTTAATATTTCTGTACCTGTTCCCCCAAGGAGGTTCTGCACTGTTGGTTCTAATTTGATTTTTTGCAACTTTGCTTTGAGTTTTTTCTTTTCTTCTTCATATTGCTGCCATTCCAGCAGCTCATGCTGAACTGTTTCTTCTTTGCCACAGTGCTGACATGCTCCAGTTGGATGTTTGATTATTTTTTGGAGTGTGTAATGTGATCTAGTGTGTCCGATTCTT